GAGAACCACTATTTATTTTTCCATATCAATAACCTTTAGCTAATATGCAATGTGTTTTTATACCTGTCTTTTGTAGTTTTTGACTGCTAGAAAGCTCCGAAAACGTTGTTGAAATTTTGAAAAATCGGCAAAATTTACCTGGTTTTGCCATTCACCAAAAAGCCAAAATTTCCGACGGTTTTTACTATTGTTTTTATGTTATCTTACACCTAAAACTATGTTAAATGTTAGAACAATGGTTTAACTTTAGTTATAGGGCCGTAGAGGATCACAGAGAAATTTATCTCCCTCTCCCCCCCCCCCGCTAACAGTCCAGAACCGAATTCTGGACGCAAAATTCTGTCGCTAGCTTTCGTCTCGCCTCGTGGGCTAAAGGCAGCCGCTGGTTTCAGCCAGGAAAAAGCTGGTCGGATTTTCGGCCCCCCTTTGCATAGATAGAGAGAGCCACAGCCCCGGGGCTCCCAGATCCCATTTTTTGTGTATTTGTGTTGGTGGGTGGCAGAGTCAGTGTATTGTGGGAAAATCGACGATGATTTGAATGGAAAGGATCTGTGGAGCGAGATAGAGAGCGAGAGAGAGAGAGAGATGAGAGATAGTGAGAAATGAGAGAGAGAGCGAGAGAGAGAGAGAGGGGGGAGAGAGAGCGATGCCTAATTGGGCCTCCGATTAAAAGGTCCTTCCAAAAAGCTAGACAAGAAAAACTCGGGCAGGCTAGCCGAGATGATTTGGGATTTTTTCGGTAGGGGGCAGGCTAGCTGAGTTTAATCTTGGGATTAATTTGTTTCAACGATGATTTTAATGGAACGGATCTGTATAGAGATAATGAGAGAGCGAAGAGAGAGTGAGAGAGTGAGATAGTGAGAGAGTGAACAACATTTATACAGAATTGAGAATCTACAGTAGCGGTCAAAAAGATGTCCCCTCGGGAGATCGTTTGGTGCTCGAAACTGTTTTGACCGCTACTGTACCTCTTGTTCGACCTAAAGGTAGCTGTCTAGACCTAGTCGATGCCAGGCGTCGATTTTTTGCAGTTTTCCGGCATTTAACGGATAGACGCCGCGATGATTGCCAATGAAAGCGTAAACATGATAGTGTGCGGAAATCATAACTAGATTCTATGTAGCAGCGGGCAGAAGGCACAAAAGCCCTTCAAAAATTGGAGAGAGAGAGGGAGAGAGAGAGAGAGAGAGAGAGAGAGAGAGAGAGAGAGAGAGAGAGAGAGAGAGCAAAAACCACCAAAATTAGCCACCACCTTGCTGGGGGGAAAGTCGAGAGTTGGTGTCGAGAGCTTCTGGAGCGCGGCCGACTTCTGAGGCACAGCCTGCCGGTGTTTTGTGAATGGCAGGGAGAGAGACGAGAGAGAGAGAGAGAGAGAGAGAGAGCGAGAGAGATAGAGAGAGCGAGAGAGAGAGATGAGGGATAGTGAGAAATGAGAGAGAGAGAGCGAGAGAGAGAGCGAGAGAGAGAGAGAGAGAGAGGGAGCGAGAGAGCGATGCCTAATTGGGCCTCCGATTAAAAGGTCCTTCCAAAAAGCTAGACAAGAAAAACTCGGGCAGGCTAGCCGAGATGATTTGGGATTTTTTCGGGAGGGGGGCAGGCTAGCTGAGTTTAATCTTAGGATTAATTTGTTTTAACGATGATTTTAATGGAACGGATCTGTGTAGAGATAATGAGAGAGCGAAGAGAGAGAACGATAGAGAGAGAGAACGAGAGTGAGAGAGGGAGAGAGTGAGCAACATTTATACAGAATTGAGAATCTACCTCTTGTTCGACCTAAAGGTAGCTGTCTAGACCTAGTCGATGCCAGGCGTCGATTTTTTGCAGTTTTCGGGCATTTAACGGATAGGCGCCGCGGTAATTGCCAATGAAAGCGTAAACATGATAGTGTGCGGAAATCATAACTAGATTCTATGTAGCAGCGGGCAGAAGGCACAAAAGCCCTTCAAAATTGGAGAGAGAGAGAGAGAGAAAGAGAGAGGGAGAGAGAGAGAGAGAGAGAGCGAGAGCAAAAACCACCAAAATTAGCCACCACCTTGCTGGGGGGAAAGTCGAGAGTTGGTGTCGAGAGCTTCTGGAGCGCGGCCGACTTCTGAGGCACAGCCTGCCGGTGTTTTGTGAATGGCAGGGAGAGAGACGAGAGAGAGAGAGAGAGAGAGAGAGAGAGAGTGGGTGAGAAAGAGAGCAAAACTGGTTGGGTATTGCCAGGGGGGGGGCACTTGGCCGGCTCCTCGAAACGGCAAAAGCCCCCCTTCTTCTTCCCTCCCTGTTCGCCCCCGCCCCTATTTCGACCGGCAGCCCGCCCTGTATAACTTCAGGGCATATTGACGAGATTGCCTTTTCTACCGTCCATCCCATCAAATGCGGGGGGCTAATGGGGCAAACGGGTGATTGACGCGAAACTGGCGATCAACGCTTGGTATTAGGTTGGAACATAAGTTCGCGCAATCGAACTTTGGAAATTTCTTTCTGAAAATTTAGTGGCCAGATTCCGATGTTCCCTCTTTGCATTTATCTATTAGGCTCATGTGTATGTGGGACCAAAATTACAGGTTTTTAGCTCCAGTAGTTTTGAAGATTTTTGCGTTTCTCTCGAGGACACTTCAATTTTTTGACCCGGACATCTTTCCGAACCGCCATAAAGTCACCATAGGAACTGATCATCACTATAATAATAAGTTATATCTATCAGCTGCATGCCGAATTAGGCTAAAAAGCAAGCCAAATTTGTTTTGTAAAGGCGGGCCGAAGCGATTTTTCATTTTCGCTTAAATCTAGCTTTAAAAAATTTTAATAGGGAAGCAACGCGATTCCGTCCCACACATCGAATAGAGAATCTTATTGCATATCCGTTCATCCAAAAAACATGTTGGTTCTTGCCCGTTTTCCGGTCCGAATATTACAAAGAAAGAAAAATATTGCGCGAACTTTAGTTCCAACCTAATAGTAACCTGACGTTACCGAACCCGGTTGCGCTTCCTAAAGAAACATTAAACCAAAAAAATAAGCGTTTATTCGAGAATTTGAGATAAATTGATACATAATAGACGATGGACATAATGTTGAAATTTCATAATTTCGAAATTCAGAATATCGGTATTTTTTGCATATGGTTCACGGGGTTTGCCGACCGATTTCGTCTCGTCGTAGATTACGAATATCACAATACCGTACTGCGAAAACGTCACCAAAAAGCTGGCTTTTGACTGTGTTTTGAGCTAAAAAGTTAGATTTTCACCCTCAAAATCAGTTTTTAAGCTCCGCGAACATCAAATTCGGAATCAGCGTGTGATTTTACACCTCGTGCCGGGTAAATTGAATGTTTCCTAAACCCGGATTTTTTAGCAATACCTAAAGCATGCTGGAAAACGCGGGTGATCCACTTTTGCCAGTTACTGTATGTGTCAATGTTGAGAAAAATCTGAGCACCGACCGATTCAACCAACGCCAGTCATTTGGCGATATTGCCGATGAGAATCCCGAAAATCTGTTTCCCGAAAATCTGATTCCCGAAAATCTGAATCCCGAAAAATCTGAATCCCGAAAATCTGATTGCCGAAAATCCGATTCCCGAAAAATCTGAATCCCGAAAAATCCGTTTTCCGAAAATCCGATTCCCGAAAGTCTGAATCCCGAAAAATCCGAGAACCGAGAATCCAAACCCCGAAAGACCGCGCTCTGAAAAGCCAAATTGGAAGAAAACAAAGTTACAAATTAACTTTATTGAATTCACCATCTTGGAAGTCGCCCAGGAACTTCAGAAAGGGAGCAGGGCGGGCGCTGAGACGCAGATTGCCCCCCGCCTGAATCTCCCCCCCGCCTCGTTGAATTGTACCAGGGTTTTTTTCAGTTCACAAACCGCAGATTCTTCAGATTCAGATTTTTCGGGAAACAGATTTTCGGGAAACGAATTTTTCGGGATTCAGATTTTTCGGGAACCGGATTTTCGGGATTCAGATTTTTCGGGATTCAGATTTTTCGGGAATTCTATTTTCGGGAATCGGATTTTCGAGAAACGGATTTTCGGGAATAAGATTTTCGGAAGTATAAGCGAAGCCCATTTGGCGAACATCTTCGACACGTCATCGGCTCCAAGACCGTGCCGCATTCGACCTTAATTACCGGGGCTCGCCAAAACCTGCCCCTGCGGCCCTCCCACTACTTCCGGGGCGAGACGTTTCGTTGTGCACGGCGGCCACCTCATCGTTCCGCAGATCGTCGCTAAACATGCTATTAGCTCTCGCCTGCGCGTGGCAGCACACATATACCCGGACGTGCGCGACCTGCTAAACCCCGAATTTACCGCGCGAGAGGTCGACGCTTGCCGGGCGCCCGGATGCCGAAGGTCGCGCGTGCTAAGAAGCCTGGGAATTTGCCCGGCACTTCTTTCATTTTCAGGAATGCGGCTTACAGGGGTAGAATGAACATGGCCAAACACTATTGAAAGAGCAACGATCCCGCAAAAATTATTTATTTCCAGAACACCAACATTGAAAAATGCTTGAGCGCCAAATGCCACAAAAATATTGTCTCTACTAGTTTTAGTTTTTGCTTTATTTATATTCTTTTACTTCTAACTCTGCCTTGCCCAAAAGTCATAGCCGCGAAAAGCTCGCTAGACACCGTACCCGGGATTCCGCAGCATTACGCGTAATGTCGCGGAATCTCGGCGGGACCTCACCCATTTCGACGGCTTTCGTAGTTTGTCTGTTTTCTTAGTCAACATTTTGTAGTTTATCGCGCAAAGTTAAATTTTTGTGGATTTGCTCTTGCATTTTTGTTTTATGGATTTTCTATTACTTTCAAATGCTAGCTTAACGCACCAGCACGAAACTAGCCCCAGAGCTTCGTTTCCTAAGCTTTGGTTGGGCCCAGGAAGACTCAAAAAGCTGAAAGCCAAATTGTCCCCCAACTTGATAAGTATTTTTCATCCATTAATTGCTTTCTGCAGGTTTTCGGTTTCCACCTTTATCTTTTTCACTATATTTACCTATTTTCAGAGCATGGCTTCGCAGCGCAAGGCTCAACAACGCCGCCCGCGACCGCAGCGTGCCACCAGCAATGTCTTCGCCATGTTTAGCCAAAACCAAATCCAGGTATTTTATGCATTACTTTTAACATTGTTCGTTCAGGAATACAAAGAAGCGTTCAATCTCATCGATCAAGACAATGACGGTTTCATCGACCAAGACGACCTACGCGAGATGTACAAGTCACTGGGTAACGCTTTTTTGAAGGTTGGAAAATTTATCTTGTGTCAGGGAAGGACGTTGACGAGAAACTGCTCGCAGAGATGGTGAGCCAAGCACCCGGCCCGATCAACTTCACCTTGTTTCTGACGATGTTCGGCGAGCGCTTGGCGGGCACCGACTCAGAAGAGGTATTTTCTTCGGTATTTCAAGCCTGATTTTCGGATATAGGTGATACGCCGCGCCTTTGAATGCTTCGACACGGACAAGGTGGGCGTGATCAACGAGGATCGGCTACGCGAACTTCTGACGACGATGGGCGATCGCTACACGCATGAGCAGGTGTGGTTTTCGTTGACTAAAATTGGTGTTCTTGATCATTTCCCTAGCTCCATAAAACTGATTTTTTAGGTTGATGACCTCTTCCGCGAGGCGCCAATCAAGGAAGGTCTCTTCAACTACATCGAATTCGTGCGGATGCTGAAGAACGGCTCCAACGAAGCGGACGACAATGAAAGCTCCTTGTAAACCATATATAGCTTCTTTTGTATTTTTGTGTGCGCCCTCGTTTTTGACTTGTGCTGTTTTGTGACTGTGATTCGCATTTCTTGATTTGCAAATAAACTTTTCCAACCTTCGGATTATTTTCAAGCTAAATCTTTTACTCGAAGCGCGGTACCTCAAAAGACTTCCCGGCAGTGTAAATTTTGATGGGCTTTTGTGAGGCGCTTTGGCATCCTGTCCCCCTTTGAAACAAAGCTTAGTTCCAGGGTTGATGTCAAGAATAGACGTCGTCCTCTCATTCAGCTACGCTAAAGGCTCAATTGGCGCTGCCTATTATGATGCGGCCACCCAAACGGTAAATGCCGCTTTGCTTCTCATGTTGTTGTTTCCAGATACATTTATTCGACGATCGCATCGAGGACCGTGATTTCATGCTGGTCGACGGTATTCTGGAGGCTGCCGACCCGACCAAGGTGCTCGCGAACCGGAATCAAGATCCGGATTTCTTGGCTCACCTAGCTAGATACTGTTGCGTTCCGGAATTTGGGCAGGAGGTTCGCAAAATCTATTTTTTTTTCTATTTAGCCTTCAGTTCCCCGGTAGCTCGGACATGGAAGAGGATGTGGATGACGAGGACGAAGAAGGCCACCTCGATCCAAAAAGCTTCACAACAATCAGGCGAAAGGACGACGGCACGGCGAACTCGCGGGAGGACGGCGACGATGAAGATGAGGATACCGTGCCCGAAACGCAGCAGCCCAGGGAATTTGATGTGGATGAGGATGAAAACCTCGATCAGCACGCAGAATTGGTCGTCCTCCCCAATAAAGCCTACAAAATGGACCGAGCCCATAGGCGTGTTGCGCACTTGTTGCAGGTGAATTGTGTGCAATAAAGCAAACTCCGTTTTAGGCGTCTGAGAGCTCGGATGCAGAGCAACAAACACGTTTCCGTTTCCGCTTCGACCTGGAGATGATCAACATGTTTCGAGCGCTGGGGTCGCTGCTGCTCTATTTGGATTCTATCCGATTTGGCGTCGAAAGATCGAACCTGGCTGCCGAGATTCCGGTGAAGGGAATCCAGAAGTTCACAGCCAGCCGGCTGGTCGATATGGACAAGGCGACGTTCAAGGCGCTCGGCATATTCCTCTTCACGGGAAAAGATGAACCCAGGTATCGTTCACTGGCGGCTGTACAGGTATAACCCATTTTCTTTACCGCAAGTATTTTTGTTTTCAGGATCACAATCGAATGTCGCTGTTCTCCCTCTGCGACCGGACACGATCGAGTCTGGGCCGGCTCATGCTGAAAAGATGGTTTGAGCAGCCGACGGGCGACATGGGCACGCTGCAGAAACGGCTCGCAACCGTCAAATTCCTGGCCGACGAAGGAAACGGGGACATTGCCCACTTCCTACATATCAATCTTCGCAAGATCATCAGCGTGCGCTCTATTTTGAGGTAACGCTTTGCTCAGGAGCGCTTTCATTTGCTTTTGCAGACGCCTGGCCGCTTCGAAAATGAAGTCTTCCGACTGGAATCCGCTCATCTACTCCTCGCGCAGCATGTGCAACATCGGGACGTTTATCAAGAAACGGCGCTCCCGATTGCCGCTGGTCGACGATCTGCTGCCCTATTTTGACGAGGAAGTGGAGGCGGCCACCAACCTGTTCTCGACGATGATCGACGTCCAGCGCACGAGCGAGGAGGGGCGTTTGGCGCTGAACAGAGGCATCGACCCCGACCTCGACTTCAAGTACGACGCCGTTGCCTCATTTGCCAGCAACACTTCCTTTTTGCGCAAGCAGTCGCTCATCGAGAGCCAGACGTTCGGTTTCGCCGTGCACATTGCGTACACGCATTCGTTCAAGTTTACAACTGTTATTGAGGTTCGTTAGATGTACAAAAAAAGTTCAGTGCCGTGGAAAGTCAGAAACTAGTTTTTTTGCGTGAATAATATTTTTTTTTACAGGAAGCCTACTTCAAGGAAACAAACCCCCTCATCACTCAATGCCTCTACGTCGATGACGGCAACTATTACGTGAAAACGGAGCTGACGGAACTGCTGGATGAGAAATTCGGCCACTACAACAACGAGATCTTGGATACGGAACGCAGCGCTGAGACGCGATTGACGGGACTGCTGAAAGAGAACGCCGGAAAACTGCTGAAAATGACGAGAGCAATCGCGCTGCTCGACGCCGCTTTGTCGCTGGCCAAAGTCGGACGAGAATTGGGATGGTGCTGTCCAACGTTGGTGGAGCAGAGCGTCATTGATGCCGATGGGGCATTCCATCCGCTTGCCGCGCTCTCTTTGAAGGGCCACTTCGTCAGGAATACGATACGCTCCAACGACGATTACACCAAGGTCAAAATATTTACAGGTATATTTTGACAAAGGATTTCTTTCGCATTATTGGGGCACGCTTGTTTTTCAAGTCCAGAAAAGGACAGGAACTGAACAGGCGGTCTAATAGTAGTTTTTAGTAATATATAACTTTAGTTGAGCTAGAAAAACTTTCTCAAAAGTCTTCAGGTTTTGAAAAATTCGAAATTTTCGTCACAAATCGAGGGCAAGTTCGGTCAATTTTTTGGTGCAGGCGGATGGAATTACGCAAAGTGTGGAATATCACAGGGCCAGGTCGGGGTCATGGGAAAAGCCACGTAGCGCCTTTTTTACGCTGGTTTATATTTGAAAAATTATCGTCCTCCGCGATAATGCGAAAGGACCGACAAAGCGACCATTATTTGTTTCAGGCCCCAACGCGTCCGGGAAAAGTATCTACCTGAAGATGGTGGGGCTAATCACCTACCTTGCCCACATCGGCTCGTTTGTACCGGCTGAACGAGCGACGATCGGTCCCGTCGATCGACTCATCACACGGGTAAAATTTTGCGAACATCTTTCTTTAAAGGTCACAAAAAGGCGCTAGGCGGAGATATAGGTTCATAACGCCCCTTTTCCCCGCCACCGGCTTTTGCTGACCTACGTTACGTTACGTAACGTGGGCGATTCACATCCCTTTACAGGGATGAGGAGGGGATATGGTCGATGCCCCCTCTGGGAAGGGGTTCGACTATTGCCACCAACTATGCCGTCCTCATCCCTTTCACCGAGTTTTCCAGGTATACACAGTCGACACGGTCCTCGACGGCTTCTCGACATTTGCGCACGACATCAAGCAGATCTCGACGGCCGTGTCCAGGGCCACCAAGAATTCGGTGGTCGTGATCGACGAATTCGGCAAGGGCACCCTCACCGAAGTCGGGCTTGCCGTGTTGACGTCAATTCTGAATCATTGGATCAGGAGGGTGCGTTTCTTCGAGGATGTTGATATGAATATGGCGAAATCCATGGAAATTCCGCACTTGGTCACATGATATCTATATTTTTCAGGTGCACGATTCCCCGCACGTGTTCGTCTCGTCGCATTTCCACGCGTTGCCGTCGTTGATTCACAAGGATCCCGAGGTGCTCTCCTTTCACGCGATGGATGCGGTGATACTAGGCAAGCAGCTTGAGTTCAAGTGAGTGTAGCTTCATTTTTTTCATCTTTTGGTTTATTAGGTACAAAGTCGTAGACGGGCTCGCGACGTCGTCATACGCGACGCACATGGCGGCCGAAATGGGCATCCCCGAGGCGATTGTCGCCCGGACGCAAGAGATCTACGACCAGCTGTGCGAGGGTGTCAGTCTGCTCGGCGTTCGCCACGACGACGTCGAACAAGTTGAAAATGAACGAATGTTGCGAGCCGTTCGCACAATTTTGCCCCGTTTCCTCGCATTTAGCAAACGTAAAGTATGATATATTTCGAAGTATGCTAATGAAAGCTCTGCTCGTTAGATTGTCGAGTTGTTCCAGCTGGGGTTTGCTTGTGATTCTCAAATTGTTGATATCCCGTTTCTAACATTCACTGAAATTTCGCAAGTCATTAATTAACCTTTGTAACGCTGTTTGTAAAATTTTTATTGTACTTTAAGTATTTTCGTGTCGTTTCGCTCTCAAGGATTTTCATTGTTGTTGTTCTGGAGATAAACACTTTTCGCGGGACCGTTGTTCGTTCAATAGCGTTTGGCTTTGTTCATTTACTGCATACCATACGCACAGTGAGGCACTACCGTCATAAGCACCCTTTTTTGCACATATCGTAAACAATTTATGTGGAAACTATACAAACAAGTCTTATAAATATGCAGAAGCTATTATAGTATATTAAGAAACATTAGATAATACTATAAGACGCTTATTAGCTAGCATTTGTTAATAAACCAGCCGCTTACAGCAGCGGCTGGACTTCGGGCTACCCCCAGCGCTCCCTCCCCCTCGCCGAAACGCGCGCGACCTGGCTCACTATGTCCGAATCGTGCCAAAGTCCGTTCCCCGACTCCTTTTACTAAAGGAAACTTTCAAAGTTAAATTTAATGATTTAAACTAAGACTTTTTCGTATAAAAACAACCATTCCTGACAAAAGGCTTTTTTCTCTTTTCTTCATCCATTTCCATTTTTTTTAGATTAGGTCGCGGTTGAAATCCTCTACCCTTAAAAAGGTGGAATTCCTTCTTTGAGGTAGACATTGATATTTTCACATTTTTATTCATCTCTGCGTCTTGTCTGTTTGGAAATTCGTCCGAAAATGCCCTAATTACAGAGTATCGATTGAAACCTATTAACAAAAACTCGTTGCGTGCCGCGTCTATTTTTATTCATTTTTCCACTTTCTGTCTAGAAATACACCCAAAAAGGATACCTAGGCGTTTTTCGACTTTTTAGAATTTCTACCGCTACAGTGACGGGGTTGATTTGCTCTCCAATGTCCGCCGGCCGGACCGGGGGGACCGAACTTTTTTCGGCCGAAGCCTACTTTTTTATATAAATAGGGGAAGTGTTTCTAAATCGTTTATAGCTATTCCTAAGCATCAAAACTTTACAAAATTTAATTAAAAAATTTAATTTTAGGTCGAAAATTCAATTTTTTCCCCGCCCAAAAATGACCAAATTTTCGACTTTTTTAGGCGTTTTTCTAACTTTTTAAAAAGTTTTTTCCGATTCAAATAGGCTCCCCCGCGAATTCTCCCCCCCGGGAATACACAAGAACCCATTTTGTTCTTTTTTCTCTTCGAATCTTTATCGTTCTCTATGATTTTGAGCGATTTACGCCTCTCAACTTTAACATTTTTTTCAGGGTAGTTAGCCGGAGGGACCGGGCGGCGGCCCGGCCGCGCGAGGAGGCGAGGGGCGGAGGATCGGAGGCCGGCTGGCGTCCGACTTTTCGTGGGTTTTTAGTTTTCATTTTTGGCTGATAAGGGTACTTTTTTAATAACGGGAAAGACGGCCTAGGAAACGGTAGCTGATTCGGTTGATCACCAAATTCTGTATAATCCTCTCCTTTTTAGGTTTGGGAAACATTGCGTTTGCATTAATACTAACATCGTCGATTCTCCACTTCTAAAAACCCAGAAAACGTAGCTTGCTGACCTGCCCGGCGCGCCCTCCTCGAGCCGCCCCCAGAGCATGGGGACCCTTCCCCTCTTCCCCACCACTAGCGTGGGTGGCGCAGTGGCTAGCCCCGCCTTCTCTTAGGTTATTTTTGCGCTAATATCGAAAGTTCGGTTTTTTGCCGCGTAATTTCTTTTGCTTTTTGCCTATTTATAGCTTCAGGGGGACGATCTTGCTTGCATTTAGCCGATTTTGTTTTAGCCTAACGAAAAAGGTGCCAACATTTGCGAAGTTGAGGCCGATAAGGCGAAAGAACCCAGACTTATAAATCTTTTCAGAGCCCCTCCAGCACTCGATGGGCATCTTCTCGGCGGGTCGACAGAAGACAAGGCAGTGAGCGACGGCTAAGCCGCGCAAGATGTACCTGGGTAAGGGATTTTTCAGGGTTAGATAGAGAGAGGGAGAGAGAGTGAGAGAGAGCGAGAGAGAGCGAGATAGAGAGAGAGATTTCAAAATATTTCAATCTTTCAATTAAATTTTTTTCAAAATATTGGATTTTTTTTAGCCTATTGAGAATTCGCTATCGGTTTATCGAAATATTATTTTGATCAAAATTCATTGTGTCGAAATTTCAAACCGCTGAAATTTCAATTTCGAAATTTCGAAAAATCAGTTTCAATTATTTAAGTCGCAATGAAAATAGGCCCTTTAAAGCTTAAGCTGAATTTTGAAGATCTTTGGGCCTGGAATACGTGGTATTTTTCAGAAGAACGCGACTACGGTACGGACCTAAGCTTCGGTTCGCGCCCGCGTCGTCCACTACACGCCAATGCCTCGCCAACTTGTGGATGAGGTCTTCGAGCCTGAAGATCTCATCATCAAGTAAGCATTTTTGACGTCTTATTTCGGGGTTTTCGAAGCATTGTAAGAACTAGAAACGTGACAATCGACCCTGAAACCGATTCGGTCTAGGCAGCTACGGAATGTGTCAGCTATTAAAATGAAATGAAGAGATAGCGTGGAAAAATACCTTTTGTGAAAATATTTTCGTTTTTTAGCTTGATGAGCCCGGTCTCGCCAGCTCTTCTGCCACTTCTCAGAATGCTCCTCGCCCAGCAGTCAAGTCTACGCCCGTCTCCTCAAACTATCGTAAGTTTTACTATAGGAAAGCTGAGATTAAAGTTTTTTATATTATTGACTTTATTTTTAAGCGACAAGCGACAAACAACACATGTTTAAGCCGGTGCCTTTTGAGGATTTGTTATCGGTTTATCGAAATATCATTTTGATGAAAATTCATTGTTTCGAAATTTCAATTTGCGAAAGCTTTAGGATGAATAAGCGAGGCGAAAGGGCATTCAAATTTCGAAAAATCAGTTTCAATTATTTTAGACGCAATGAAAATAGGCTGAATTTTGAATATTTTTGGGCCTGGAATACGTGGTATTTTTCAGGAGCTCGCTACTACGGTTCGGACTGAAGCTTCGGTTCGCGCTGGCGCCGTCCACTTCATCACCAACGCCTCGCTACTTGTAGATGACGTCTTCGAGCCTGAGGACCTCATCATCAAGTAAGCATTTTTGACGTCTTATTTCGGGGTTTTCGAAGGATTCTAAGAACGAGAAACGTAACAATCGACCCTGAAACCGATTCGGTCTAGACAGCTACGGAATGCGTCAGCTATTAAAATTAAATGAATCAAACCGGGGTTTTCGACACAAAAAAATGGCCGAGTTTGTCCAATCTTTCGGGTATTGCCACAGATGATGCACCATTCGATAGAGAATTGAAAATAAATTGGTGTCTTTAATGTATAATATAAATATATCGTATTTTTTAGGTAGGCGGCTACGATAGAATAGCATGCTTGGTTCACGGCCCCGCCAGCCAAACCAAATTCGAGCAACATGCCAAGAATGCTCGCGTGAGGATGACGTCTTCGAGCCTGAGGACGTCCTCTTTAAGTGAGCCTGAAGATGAGCAGCCTTATAGTGAGTTTTTGAGACGTATAAGATCGAGGATAGAAAGTTGAAGTTAAGTTAAAGCTGAGACTGAATTTTGAATATCTTTGGGCCTGAAATATGTGGTATTTTTTAGGTACACGCGTATACCCTGAAGCTTCGGGGCGCGCCGGGCCATCCATCGTCAACGCCTCGCCAATTTGTTGATGCCGTCTTCGGGCCCGAAGACGTCATCGTCAAGTGAGCATGTTTGACTTCTTGTTTCGGGGTTTTCGCCGCATACTAAGAACGTGAAACGTAACAATCGACCCTCAAACCTACTAGGTCCAGACAGCTACCCAAATGCGTCAATTATTAAAGTAACAAGCCATACGGAATGCGTCAAAACACGCTTGTACTTACTTAGAATTTTGGTGAAACTCCGTCCCTGTGGCGATTAACATGAGAATATCGTGTTTAGGCGCAGCGCGTAGTTGTCTAGATCTAGTTGATTAAACAGGTCGATTTGGCGTTTCTTGCTCACTTTAAAACGCTATGCTTTCCAGGCTTTCGGCGCATATAAACACCCTCCCATGGTCGACCATCGCCCATTTCGAGAAAAACACAAAAGCCGCCGTCCTGTCGAACGCGTTGATCACCTCCAACTTTCGCTGTTGAAGTTTAACGTCGTCAAGAGGTTCAGTATTCAGATTAGCGGTTTAATTTTAACAATTTCAGAAGGCGGTGCGGCTTCTCCTTCGCGTTGGTGAACTCGCTTTGTTTGCCATCGCGTCGGAAAGGGTGCTGCCCTACTTGGTGGGTTTTTGGGTTTTGCCTAGTGCTTTTAGAGGATTTGCTACCATTTTGTCAAACTATCACTTTGACGAAAATTCATTTATTATTATTGATTCATTTTATGCACTAAAGCTACAATTTTTACTAGGTTTTAGATGAATGATCGAGGCGAAAAAACTTTGCAATTTCGACAAAATGAGTTTGAACGATAGAAAAAAAGACGCCTAAAAGCTTCAACTGAATTTGCAATATTTTTGGGCCTGGAGTATGTGGTATTTTTTAGGTGCACGCAGCGACGGTAGAGACGGAAGCCTCGGTGCGCGGCCGCGCCATCCACGCCATCACCCAACTCCTCGCTGCTGTCGAGCCACAAACCCACGAGGAGGCCGCGACGTTTATGGAATATCTACTGCCAAAATATGTGAGTTTTTCACTCTTTATTTCCCCTTTCTAAGAGTTGAGATAAATTTTGATTTGAATCGAGATTAAATTTTGGTCCTAATTTTTGCTTCATTTTTTGTTGCTGAGAGGCTATCTCTATCGCTCTCTCTCTCTTTCTCTCTCTTTCTCTCTCTGTCTCTGGTCTCTGTTTTACAAGAATATTTGGTTTCAGGACGCCATCGCCAACGAAACGCGCACCGACTCGATGGCCCACATGGCGCTGGCCGTCTGCTTGGGCAGAATTGCTGACACGGCTCATCGGTTAGTTTTTTATTGGGTAAGCTAGCATAGAACATTTTGGAATTTGGGCAGGCTAGCATAGATCATTTCGGAAATTTTCGGAATTTACCGAATCTCGTTTTTCCAGGTACATGATCGCGTCCCGCTCACTCCAAAGTACGGCTGTCGACGACGAGGTGTCCGGCGCTGAACCCGCTAATGGTACGCTTTTTCAGAAAAAATGAAATTATCATTCATTTAATTAAAGAAAAGCATTTTGATTAATATCTACCTTTTTACGATCAATTTTTATGATTATTTTTCTTAGATTTTCAACATCCGCATTTTTCTATTTTTAGAAGGCACCCGCCACGAGAAGGAGGCCACCGCCCTGTTCAAGGCCATCTCAGGCATTTTTGTGCACCTGTGCGCCCGGGGGAACGAGATCAAGCAGTGTCTCGTCGACCGGGAATCGCTTCAGAAGCTTCACCGATTCGCCGTGGCCGTTCAGGGTTCGTTTTCTAGCTTGAAAGGCCCAGGAAACGCGAAAATCTAACCCTTTCCTCAATCAGTTCTGGACAGCTACGCGGCACACCAAAATCCGTGATAAATCGCCGAGTTTCGCCCAGATTCCGCGTCCCTAGGCTATCAAAAATCAGATTGACACGTATTTTGGAGTATCACGTAGCCTAGACCTAGTCGACGGAAGCAGTCGATTTTGGCGTTGCTTCCTGGTGCCTTTAATTTAATTTTGTATATCCCAATTTTCCAGGTGCCGATCAGGGCTTTCCCCTCGACCACATGGTCACCTTTTTCAACATCAGGGAGGATTGGCGGTTAGATTGTAATGTCGATAATTTTATTGATTTTTAGGCTCCGCGCCTTTTTCTTCGACTCGCTGCCACATTGTGTGTTCAACAAGAAGAACGTCGAGGCGTTGCGCTCGCTTTTTGAGCAGGTATCTTTCTCTCTCTCTCTCTCTCTCTCTCTCTCTCTCTCTCTCTCTCTCTCTCTCTCTCTATCTCTCTCTCTCTCGCTCTCTAGCTAATCTCCATTTTATAGGGCATCATCGAGTTCGAGGAGATGGTCGTCGTCAAGGCGATAAACTGCATCGTCCACCTCACCCGGGTCGATTTGCTGGAGAAGGAGACCGTCAACGAGCTCTTCCCACGACTCGCCCCGTCAGTGTCTCGTCGACCGGGAATCGCTTCAGAAGCTTCACCGATTCGCCGTGGCCGTTCAGCGTTCGTTTTCTCGCTTGAAAGGCACAGGAAACGCGAAAATCTACCCTTTTCTTCGGCGAGGTCTAGACAACTACGCGGCACACCAAAACCCCGATTTTCGGCACCCAATTTGTTCTGCTAACAAGGAGTGGCTTTTAGGTGATCGTTGAATGTTGCTATGTGACATAGCTCATTCGCTTGAGCTTCAAGCTCTGAACAGAGTCCATCTTTCAAAATCTGCGCAACGTTAATGGTCTTCGAGAATGAGTTTCTCAAAGTTCGCATTTTCTTAAATGCTCAAAAATACAGAAAATTTCAGAACGAATTTTCTCAAAGAGCGTAGACGTTCAGCAGTTTTTTTAAGGATGGGCTTGGTTCAGAATTTCAAGCTCTATCGAATGAGCTATGTAAAATCGCTAAATTCGAAGGTCATCTAAAAACCACTCCTTGTAAATAGAGAAATGTCAAGTTAGGTAATAGTAGTTATTTTAATATTGTTTTAGTAACGTTCTACTAGCTTTGAAGTGGAAAACAATTACAAAGGGTAGAAAAGGTGGGGGGTCTTTACGGTTTTCGGGGCAGGCTAGCAGGGATCATTTCGGAAATGATTTTGAAAGACGCGGTGAATTGCCTGTACTGCCTATACGTCCAGAAATGTCTAGTAAATTAATAATAAGTATTTTAGTAGTGTTTTAGTATAATTTTACTCGATTTATGGCGGAAAAACGGATAAAAGTTAAAAAAAACCAGAATTACGTCGAAAATAGGCAATTTTTGGTCGAAAAATCTATATATTTCGTTTTTTTTTAAAAACAAAGGCGTGGAGTTAGTTCTCAGAATAGTAAACAACTGTTTAGAAATAATTTCTGTGTTGATATCAGAAAAATTGGACAGTAGGGATCCCCCCATACCCCAACGTTAATGCGAAAGCACAATAGGTTGCACAGAGCGAAGGGGATGCACACGGAATTATCATGGTCAAATTTTATCATTGATTTGCGCTATAAATAAGTTTCTTTTTGCATTGAAAAAATCTTTTGTATCTTCGGCAAGAAAAAAGCATTACGCCAGGAAATTCCAAAATTACGAGGCGCTACTAAACACGAGTACCGTACTCGTAACTTTCGTAGCGCGGGAATTTTTCCGAAATTTTAAGAGTTTTGGAGTGTTTTCCTTGGATTTTTTGTGCTTGAGTCTGGTTTTTTTAGCACTTGATGGCTTATTATCAAAAGAATTTTGCGCCTGACTCGCGACCGTTGATAGCACTTTATAACTGATGCTCCTCTTTAGTTTTTTTCCCAAAGAAAAATGAATTATCTTTCATTATTTGAATTCTTGGTTTTCTATCCGCATTGCGCAGTTTTTGGCAAGGTTTTAGTTTTACTGGCGTGGTGGCTAATTTTTTTTGTGTTGAGTTTTGACTGGGCGTGTTTTTCAGGATGGACCCGCCATTCAATCTCCCACTTCCGGCTGGATTCTCAGGAGGACTGCCACCGTTCATTGTACCTCCACAGCTACCTCAGGTTTGCTGAATTTTCTTGCTAATTTCTTGTTTCCAGCCTAGTCACGTCGACGTGCAGCGAATTCCTCGCCATCTGGACATCAAGCAAAGCTACAAAGCTTTCCGCCAACTCGTCGGTAACTTTTTTTTCATCGATCGTGATTCTCGTTTTAGGTATCCGCTATGACGAATTGGCTCGCGAACTGGGCTTGACGAACGATGAACAGACAATGCTTCTAAATGGCACTGCGGAGAACACCGAACAATTGTGCACGCTGTGGGGCCGCATCCAGCCTCTCCTACCGGGACTTGTCAAGCAGCTCAGGGTAAATTTATGTTGATGCGCTGATTTTCATTTTGCTTCTGTTTATTAAAGGCGTTGGATTCTATATTGTCGCTCAAAAAAGTAATGCGTTTTACAGGAGCGTCAGGCAGCTGCGAAGAAAGCGAAAGAGCAGGCAAAATATCAACGCCGTAAACTGAAGAAGGCCGCACAAGCCGAAGCTACTGCTCAAGAAAATGCCGTACCGGTCCCAAAAGAACCGAAAGAAAAATCCGAATAGGCTTACCTACTCTCTGTCTATGTAGCCTTTCCTTGTTAATCTCTACTCTTTGTGTTTCTTGTTGATAGTGATCTCGTTTGCGCGCTGAGGGTATTTCGGTACTTATCAAGTTGGGTAGGGCCTTTGGGGACCTATTGGGGGGACATTTTTTATCGCTTTTTCGTGTATTTCTAGGGGCGCCTCGCAGCGCCTGGGCGCTTCGCGCTCATCGGGCGCCCCGGTCTCGAAAGCCTGTACAAGTGTGTGTCTCTCTAGTGTGATTTCTTGGGCCCACCTCCACTTCTTGAGTTTCCGCCTTGAACATTTCTACCTTTACGCACATATTTATCTTCATTTTCGAGGTCTGAATAAAGGTTCTGCGTGTTTCAGTTTGTTCATAAATTTATTTAATATTACCAGGTTCTATTATCGTGTTCCCCTGCCATTGTTTTGCAGTAGGCGCTGTTTGTAGATCATTGGAAATATTTGGATTTTGGCCGACTTCTTGGTTGCTGGATTGTCGCGCGCTACCGATTGATGCTGCTGCCGCGAGCTTGCTTAGAATGGGCGGTTGTGCGCTCCGACGTTCCCATTTTTAGAACTCCCGGCTTATGCTGCTTGCCGAATTAGAACTGCCGTACAGCTTTGGCTTTCGTCCCTGGCTCAAGGACAAAGCACCCCAAGGCCAGGCCGTGGAATTCCTCTCGATGCCTATCCTGGAGATCTGCTCCGAGGCAGATTCAGTCTTCCCGGAAGCTCTGGGGGATTATGGGAGGGTATCTAAAGCCATCACGAAGGTATCCAAGTAGTTTTTTTCAGGGGATTTCGGCTATGGGGGGGTATATCATGCCAACAGGCAGGTATCCAAGTAGTTTTTTCAGGGGATTTCGGCTATGGGGGGGTATATCATGCCAACAGGCAGGTATCCAAGTAGTTTTTTCAGGGGATTTCGGCTATGGGGGGGTATATCATGCCAACAGGCAGGTATCCAAGTAGTTTTTTCAGGGGATTTCGGCTATGGGGGGGTATATCATGCCAACAGGCAGGTATCCAAGTAGTTTTTTCAGGGGATTTCGGCTATGGGGGGGTATATTATGCCAACAGGCAGGTATCAAAGTAGTTTTTTCAGGGGATTTCGGCTATGGGGGGGGTATATCATGCCAACAGGCAGGTATCAAAGTAGTTTTTCAGGGGATTTCGGCTATGGGGGGGTATGTTATGCCAACAGGCAGGTATCAAAGTAGTTTTTTCAGGGGATTTCGGCTATGGGGGGGGTATATCATGCCAACAGGCAGGTATCAAAGTAGTTTTTTCAGGGGATTTCGGCTATGGGGGGTATATTATGCCAACAGGCAGGTATCAAAGTAGTTTTTTCAGGGGATTTCGGCTATGGGGGGGTATATCATGCCAACAGGCAGGTATCAAAGTAGTTTTTTCAGGGGATTTCGGCTATGGGGGGGGTATATCATGCCAACAGGCAGGTATCCAAGTAGTTTTTTCAGGGGATTTCGGCTATGGCAGGTATATCATGCCAACAGGCAGGTATCCAAGTAGTTTTTTCAGGGGATTTCGGCTATGGGGGGGTATATTATGCCAACAGGCAGGTATCCAAGTAGTTTTTTCAGGGGATTTCGGCTATGGGGGGTGGGTATATTATGCCAACAGGCAGGTATCAAAGTAGTTTTTTCAGGGGATTTCGGCTATGGGGGGTATATCATGCCAACAGGCAGGTATCCAAGTAGTTTTTTCAGGGGATTTCGGCTATGGCAGGTATATCATGCCAACAGGCAGGTATCCAAGTAGTTTTTTCAGGGGATTTCGGCTATGGGGGGGTATATCATGCCAACAGGCAGGTATCCAAGTAGTTTTTTCAGGGGATTTCGGCTATGGGGGGGTATATTATGCCAACAGGCAGGTATCAAAGTAGTTTTTTCAGGGGATTTCGGCTATGGGGGGTATATCATGCCAACAGGCAGGTATCAAAGTAGTTTTTTCAGGGGATTTCGGCTATGGGGGGTATATTATGCCAACAGGCAGGTATCAAAGTAGTTTTTTCAGGGGATTTCGGCTATGGGGGGGGTATATCATGCCAACAGGCAGGTATCCAAGTAGTTTTTTCAGGGGATTTCGGCTATGGGGGGTATATTATGCCAACAGGCAGGTATCCAAGTAGTTTTTTCAGGGGATTTCGGCTATGGCAGGTATATCATGCCAACAGGCAGGTATCCAAGTAGTTTTTCAGGGGATTTCGGCTATGGGGGGGTATATCATGCCAACAGGCAGGTATCCAAGTAGTTTTTTCAGGGGATTTCGGCTATGGGGGGGGTATATTATGCCAACAGGCAGGTATCCAAGTAGTTTTTTCAGGGGATTTCGGCTATGGCAGGTATATCATGCCAACAGGCAGGTATCCAAGTAGTTTTTCAGGGGATTTCGGCTATGGGGGGGTATATTATGCCAACAGGCAGGTATCAAAGTAGTTTTTTCAGGGGATTTCGGCTATGGGGGGTATATCATGCCAACAGGCAGGTATCAAAGTAGTTTTTTCAGGGGATTTCGGCTATGGGGGGTATATCATGCCAACAGGCAGGTATCAAAGTAGTTTTTTCAGGGGATTTCGGCTATGGGGGGGTATATTATGCCAACAGGCAGGTATCAAAGTAGTTTTTTCAGGGGATTTCGGCTATGGGGGGGTATATCATGCCAACAGGCAGGTATCCAAGTAGTTTTTTCAGGGGATTTCGGCTATGGGGGGGTATATTATGCCAACAGGCAGGTATCCAAGTAGTTTTTTCAGGGGATTTCGGCTATGGCAGGTATATCATGCCAACAGGCAGGTATCCAAGTAGTTTTTCAGGGGATTTCGGCTATGGGGGGTATATTATGCCAACAGGCAGGTATCAAAGTAGTTTTTTCAGGGGATTTCGGCTATGGGGGGTATATCATGCCAACAGGCAGGTATCCAAGTAGTTTTTTCAGGGGATTTCGGCTATGGGGGGGTATATTATGCCAACAGGCAGGTATCAAAGTAGTTTTTTCAGGGGATTTCGGCTATGGCAGCAGGTATATCATGCCAACAGGCAGGCATCCAAGTAGTTTTTCAGGGGATTTCGGCTATGGGGGGGTATATTATGCCAACAGGCAGGTATCAAAGTAGTTTTTTCAGGGGATTTCGGCTATGGGGGGGTATATTATGCCAACAGGCAGGTATCAAAGTAGTTTTTTCAGGGGATTTCGGCTATGGGGGGGTATATCATGCCAACAGGCAGGTATCAAAGTAGTTTTTTCCAGGAGATTTCGGCTATGGGGGGGTATATTATGCCAACAGGCAGGTATCAAAGTAGTTTTTTCAGGGGATTTCGGCTATGGGGGGGGTATATTATGCCAACAGGCAGGTATCCAAGTAGTTTTTTCAGGAGATTTCGGCTATGGGGGGGTATATCATGCCAACAGGAAGGTATCAAGGTAGTTTTTTCAGGGGATTTCGGCTATGGGGGGGTATATTATGCCAACAGGCAGGTATCAAAGTAGTTTTTTCAGGAGATTTCGGCTATGGGGGGGTATATCATGCCAACAGGAAGGTATCAAGGTAGTTTTTTCAGGGGATTTCGGCTATGGGGGGTATATTATGCCAACAGGCAGGTATCAAAGTAGTTTTTTCAGGAGATTTCGGCTATGGGGGGGGGGGGGTATATTATGCCAACAGGCAGGTATCCAAGTAGTTTTTTCAGGGGATTTCGGCTATGGGGGGGTATATTATGCCAACAGGCAGGTATCAAAGTAGTTTTTTCAGGGGATTTCGGCTATGGCAGCAGGTATATCATGCCAACAGGCAGGTATCCAAGTAGTTTTTCAGGGGATTTCGGCTATGGGGGGGTATATTATGCCAACAGGCAGGTATCAAAGTAGTTTTTTCAGGAGATTTCGGCTATGGGGGGGTATATCATGCCAACAGGAAGGTATCAAGGTAGTTTTTTCAGGGGATTTCGGCTATGGGGGGGTATATTATGCCAACAGGCAGGTATCAAAGTAGTTTTTTCCAGGAGATTTCGGCTATGGGGGGGTATATCATGCCAACAGGAAGGTATCAAGGTAGTTTTTTCAGGGGATTTCGGCTATGGGGGGTATATTATGCCAACAGGCAGGTATCAAAGTAGTTTTTTCAGGAGATTTCGGCTATGGGGGGGGTATATTATGCCAACAGGCAGGTATCAAAGTAGTTTTTTCAGGAGATTTCGGCTATGGGGGGTATATTATGCCAACAGGCAGGTATCCAAGTAGTTTTTCAGGGGATTTCGGCTATGGGGGGGGTATATTATGCCAACAGGCAGGTATCAAAGTAGTTTTTTCAGGAGATTTCGGCTATGGGGGGTATATCATGCCAACAGGAAGGTATCAAGGTAGTTTTTTCAGGGGATTTCGGCTATGGGGGGGGTATATTATGCCAACAGGCAGGTATCAAAGTAGTTTTTTCAGGAGATTTCGGCTATGGGGGGGTATATCATGCCAACAGGAAGGTATCAAGGTAGTTTTTTCAGGGGATTTCGGCTATGGGGGGTATATTATGCCAACAGGCAGGTATCAAAGTAGTTTTTTCAGGAGATTTCGGCTATGGGGGGGGTATATCATGCCAACAGGAAGGTATCAAAGTAGTTTTTTCAGGAGATTTCGGCTATGGGGGGGTATATCATGCCAACAGGAAGGTATCAAAGTAGTTTTTTCAGGTGATTTCGGCTATGGGGGTATATAATGCCATCAGGAAGGTCTCCAGGTAGTTTTTAAGAGGAATTCCGGGGGATCTGTCAAAATCTCGAAAATCAGAATCTCGAATTTCCATAATTTCGAATTTTCAGATACTCCAATTTGCAGAATCTTGAATTTTCAGAATCTCAAATTTTTGAGGCTCGAAATTTCCATAGTGTCAAACAGCATTAAAAGGCCGTCCGTAACATCCGAACAGGCCCCATTATGACCTGGCACAGTTTTTTCGACCTGATTTTTATGACGTCATCTGAAAGAGCGTGGCCGAATTAGTAGGGTGGTATGGTTTTGGAAGTTTAAAAAGTTTAATTTTAGTGTTAAAATGGGCCTCAAAGCGACCACCTTCGAAAAACTATCTTGAAAACGACTGAACGAAACAAGCCGAAAATTTGTGTCAATACCTAATTTGGGGTGGGGATCATTTCTCTAATACATACGCACCAAAAAGAGTTTTTAGACATTTTCGGCATTTTAGGGTGGTTTGCGAAAGCTGACCGTTACACAAAAAGATGCGCCCGATCTTTCCGCATCGAATGGTGTATAGCTTATCGAGGGCGTACCACCCTAAAAATTAGTTTGATTCACTTTTATGTGCGAAAATGGGGGTAAAAATGTCCCTAAAAAATGGAAATGTATGAGTTCGAAAAATCTGAGATATCGAATCACATCTAGAGACCGAGACGAGTCGATTGCAATAAAAGGCAAAAAGGAATTCGGCTTTCTTCGATGTCGTGCAATCGAACCCGGATACGGGAGCCCTGTGGCGCAATGAGTGGGGCGTCGGCGTACCAATGCAGAGGTGGCGCCAGTTCAATCCCAGCCCCCACTCAGAAGCCGAATTTCTTTTTGCTTTTTTTGCAATCGACTCGTCTCGGTCTCTGGCCACGCTCTTTCAGATGACGTCATAAAAATGGGGTCGAAAAAACTGTGCCAAGCATTGTTCGGGTCCCTCGCATAAGGCCTTTTAAAGACTTCTGAAATTGCACGCCTATGCCCTGCATAGGCATATTTCGAGATTCTGAAAACTCGAGATTCTGAAAATTCGAGATTCTGAAAATTCGAGATTCTGAAAACTCGAGATTCTGAAAATTCGAAATTCTGAAAATTCGAGATTATGAAATTTCGAGGTTCTGAAAGTTCAAGATTCTGATTTTCGAGGTTCTGATTTTCGCGATTCTGATAGGTATTCGGGATTTCGGTTATGGGGGGTATCACGTACGCATTGTCCATACTCGCAGATGCCTCGAGTTTCAGAACAGAGTGTTTTTTTAAGCGTGGTAAGAAATCCTAGCCTTGGAGACCCTAGTTCGGGCTCACAAGGATTGTCAGGCCTTTTTAGGTTGCGGTTGCCGACGACTCATCGTCATCCCAGGATCCCCTGTGCGCGGGTCCACTTAATTCCCAGGACGGCAGATGGTCAACCCTGTGCGTCTGGTTGTTTCAAACACTGCGAATCTATTTCCCGCCTTTCTCTTTTTTTGATCTTCGCAACAAATCCCATAACAACTCTTTATTTTCAATTCCCTTTCTTCTTCCGCTACAATTTCATTGATCTGCCTACGGGTAACTATCAGAGAGTAAATGTAAGGTCTTGGGTGCTAATGCAATGGGGGGCAGTCCGGATTTTGACTACCAGACACCCCAAATGCCGTGTTTTCTGTGTTTAGCTTTTCCAGAGGCTTCGAGTTTTAAAAACGATGCGTCTTGTAGTCAAAATCTGCTGCCCCCCCCAGTACATTAGCATCACAATTGGTTCCCTCCAGTGGCGTGGCTGACACCAAATTTCGGGAGGGGCAGTGGCATTTCGCAGGGGGCAGTGAGAAAGATTTTGATGAAAAAATTTTCGAATTTTCATAAGGGGGGACCCTTACGTTTTTTACGGGACCGCCGGATTTCGGGAGGGGCATCCTGCCCCTCTGCCCTCCCCCTCACAAGGAGATGGTCTCAGCTCGGCATCGAATTCGGATTTGAAAATTTGCACACTTATAGAGGTCGACGAGACAAATCGATTGGTGTAACTTTCAGCTGCTGATACAATAACCACGCCGAGTTATAAGCATTGTAAGTTTTTGCATACATTTTGCATTTTTTCGGCCATAGCTTCATAGGCCTTCCCCACCTCCCCATCACCATGGTCTGGTGGCCTAGTGGTGTAGTAGGCGCCCTCCGGGGAATCTAACGAGGGTTCGAACCCGCTCACGATTTTTATTTTTTGCTTTTTTGTCCGAACGTTCCTCTTTGCTTTTTGAAGACCTTGAATTGCTTTTTACGCATTATTTTAACTCCACTGATGCGCCGGCAACATCGAACTTCACCGCAAAAAATTTTCTTGCTGGGCATCGAGAACTTGTCCGACCTATGACTACCATTTCCAAAAAATTTTCGCGGATGAAAGTTTTTGTTCGGATAACACACCATTTACCAAATTTACGTTTACTCCACGATTTTTGATATGCTTTGAATTTTCAATTTATTTTGGGACCGGTATAGTCATTTCGGGTAAAAAAATCTAAATTTTTGCAAAGAGACGTTTAGCCATTTCGCACCAGAGGAGTTAAAATAATGCGTAAAAAGCTATGCAAGGTCCTCAGAAAGCAAAGAGGAACCTTCGGACAAAAAAGCAAAAAGTAAAAATCCTGAGCGCGTTCGAACCCTCGTTAGATTCCCCGGAGGACGCCTACTACACCACTAGGCCACCAGACCATGGTGATGGGGAGGCGGGGAAGGCCTATGAAGCTATGGCCGAAAATATGCAAAATGTATGCAAAAACTTACAATGCTGATAACTCGGCGTGGTTATTGTATCAGCAGCTGAAAGTTACACCAATCGATTTGTCTCGTCGAGCTCTATAAGTGTGCAAATTTTCAAATCCGAATTCGATTCCGAGCTGAGACCATCTCCTTGTCAGGCGCGTAGAAGGGGGGAAAGGGGCAGGCTGCCCCCCCGAAATCCGGCGGGCCCGAAAAAAACATAAGGGTCCCCCCTTATGATTTTTTCAACTTGAAAATTTTTTCGCCTGCGGCGCTGTTTTTCTTACTTTTTCTTCATTTTTTAGCCTGCGGCGCTGCTATTTTAGCGAAATTTTTCGCCTGCGGCGCTCAAATTGCGAAAATTTTTTCTTGCTGCCCCTCCCGAAATGTCGCTGCCCCCCCGAAACTTGGGGTCAGCTACGCCCCTGCTCCCCCTCCTACACGCCTGGTTCCCCCAACCAGTATAGTGCAAAGACAAGATACCAGTAAGGTAGTCTGCAATAAAATTTTTCGTGTGGAATTGGCGTCTGGGCAGGGATTGGCTTTTGGTTTGTCAGGCGAAAAAGGTTGTGAAGCAGGGCAAAAACAATTTATCCCTTTTTCCTCTTTGTGAATTTCTGAATTTTTCCAGAGCTCAAAACCAAAACCCTTTGTAGGTCAGCGATTTGTTTTAAGCGTTCGGAAAGCACGGTCAATGACCGGTAAAAATAAGGTACAATCCAACATTTTTGAAAATGAAACTTTAACTACTTTTTACTCAAATTTTTGTTAGTCGAAAATGACATTTAGGGAGGAGAAAAATCGGTTTTTGTAATTTAGCGGTAAAACTGGTTGGCTGCACGATTTTGGACAGGTCACGCGTGAGTGGGTGGCAGCAAGGGAACTGTTTCACGCATGCCGCGTCATTTCGATTCCCCCCCCCTCCACAAGATTCAGGCGCAATTTTTTATGCCATGTAGAGTAGTTTTCAGCGAATGATGGTATCTGACGCTGTAAGGCAGTTATCGTAGTAGCTTTTGAAGGGCGTCCCGGATAGCGGAGGTAGCTGAAGCCATCAGGACCGGGTTTTAGTAAGTGTTGATGGAGGTAGTTTGTGAAATGATATGGATGGCTGCCGAAAGGCCAGCTGCTAACTGTAATCAGCTAGTTTTCAATCAACATTGTAAAATTACTAATAGTAAAAAGATTTCCAAACACTTCCGCTATTCATGTTTCAAAAACTGGATCCTAAGAAAAAAAACGTTCGTCCGCCGCCGCCGCCCTCCCCCAATAATGCGAAAGTATCTATATTTTTATCAAAAACTCCCAGGGCGACGGCAAAATGTTTGACATCGTCCACCTCCCAGAAGCCTTGAAGGTGGCTGTACTCGACCAGCTCGGAATTGATGAATTGCAAGAGCTTCAGCTCGTCAACAGAGAATTCAGGTAATTTCACAGCTACTTTATCATCATAAATGCTTTCGTAAGACAATGTTGAGTGCAGGACTGTTAGCGGGGGGTCGGGGATTTTAGCGCGGGTCAAAAGCCTTCTAGCATATTCCTGACTTCACAAGTGTCCAAAATTTGTATCGTTTTGAAGTGTATTTTTCTAAGCTTTTTAGGGTTTTTTAACTAAATAATACTAATTTAAAATATTTTATAGAGTTTGAGCATGTTGACTTTTTTGTCATTTTTCCCCACGGGGTGATAGGCAAAGTTAGGGCCCCGGCGGCTCCAAAACCGACCACCATTTTCCTCTATAGCTTGCTTGTTGCCAAACTTACTTTGAATTTTAACAAAACGCATGCTTTTACAGGAATGCCGTGAATGGTCGTGGGTTGATGCCGCGGAGAGCGAAATATATCCGTGTATTTGCTCGTGTTCCAGGTTCCGATCAAAATGATTTTGCCGATGTTGGGGAAAGCCGGCAGGTAGGCGCGGTACACGAAAAATGCCTTGATGGGCTAGTCCTGCCTTCGCAGCTTGGGTTGGCACCTTCCGGGACTATGGAGGCAGACAATCCCGAAAATCCCGGCCCTCCTCCAGCCCGGCCCGGCCCGCCAAATTCCCACGCTTGCCACCCTCTAACTCGACGGAGAGGGGTCGAAGCAGAACGATAGTTTCACCATTCGAACGTCCTTGAAACCGCCAGTTTGCAACAAGTTCGGACATATGTTTTTATTTAAACGTGCGATGTTACAGCGCCTTTAAAAAAATCAAGGAACGGGCGCTGCGTCTAATCACCGGTTGCTTCCGGCCATTTTACTTGAAAAATAGAGGGAAATCAGCTTGTATGCAAAGCCGAAAAACTGTAAAATATTTCAAAATCGCCTGTAAAAATGCAGGCCTTATAAAACAATGGTTTTTGAAAATTGTTGCAAACTCGCAAACGAATTGGAACTGGAAGTACCGTTTCTTATTACTTGCTTTCTTACGACAGTGTAAAGACTTTCTTTCAGGGACAGAGGGAGCGCTTTTGATGTATCTGATAGGAATTCAGGAAAATTATGCAAAATCGACAATATTACAGGATAGGTCGGCGCCAGGGGTGAAAATTCGCGAAGCGTCTGCCTAGGCTTAAGCTTATGTTTAGGTTTATAGGTTTACAGGGTGGCTGGTAAGTATCCGGAAAATGTAGAGGGCTACAGCGACAAAAGTAAACCCAAATTTAATAATAGCGATTTATTTTTATGATAAGTGGATGCTAAATATTCATTTTTGTAACAAATTTTTAATGTAGCCCCCATCCGCTTTGACATATGATTTAATTTATGACGGCCCAAACATGGCTGTGCGCCGCGGGTATTTTCTAAACAATTCGTTCCAGATCTTGGTATATTCTCAATGCGGATAGTTTGTATTGTTGATTTTTATGTTTGGTAGCTCCTGTTTTATGAATCCACACACAGAAAAATCCCATAGATTCTGATCCGGGCTAATGGCAGGCCAAAGATCCTTCGTCCTAAAATCCCGGATCTCGAAAATTGGCCTGAATCGGAAAACCCAAAAATCCGGTCTCACAACCAAATCAGGTTTTTAATATGTCAAAATGATCAGCGCCTGGAGCCATGGCAAGATCAGTTGGGAAAACTTTTCAAAAACATTTCTATCTCAAGATCTGTGACTTTTAAGTTCGGCGAAAAACGGCCCTGACCGCAAAATTCAAGTTTGATTTTGGCGTGCCAATATTCTGAGCAGGTCAGATGTTTCATGATCAGTTGTAAAAAACTTTACGGAAGCCATGTTCTATACAATAAAAAAGAAAACAAGTCATAAAACTGAAGGAGCTTTCTTTGTTGGGCAATTTTAAAGTCAGTCCGGATACTTATCAGCCACCCTGTATAGCTTAATCTCTGTTTTATCGAGAAAAATTTTATAAAGTCAAATTGCGGCGGGAAAAGGGGTCCAAGGAACATCAAAATCTTTTTAATGGCAACGTTTATACCAGATCTGTGTGCACGAGACCGAGTTGCTGATTAAAGATCGGGATGACGTCTTCTACCGCGTTGATAGCTATCGAAACTCCATTCTCTACGACGACGACGACTACGAGTTGGCCGATGAGTTAGTTTCCTTTTTTTGAGCCCAATTTCCCTCGATGCAAAGTACTAATAATGGTTTTCGCAATTCATTTTACACTGATCATTTACAGGTTAATCTCATAATGCCGATTTTCATAATGCCGATTCCCATAATGCCGATTTTGCGTCTTTTCGCAGGGTATCTCATCGGTAATATATTCCAGGTCTCTCATGAAGTTTCTAACCCGTTATTTGTTATACAAAAATCTTACAAAATCTTCATAAAAATAAATTGCCCTGACAGGTTTGACAATTTTCAAGGACCGTTTCGATTTTTGATTCAGGGTTATTTGTTAGGAAAATCGGGGTTTCGCTATGTTAAAAAGCTTTTGCGCTGCGCCAATATTGACAGCATAGGCTTTCGGGGAAAATGGAAATAGCAAACACTACGATTCAGCGGGACGACAATGGATTAGCACCCTGCGTAAAGGCGCAAAAGAAAAACTCAAATTTTGGTAAAAAGGCTACATAGCTTTACAAATAGCAGTAAAGACGTGAAAAAATAGCGCCACGAGTAGCAAAATTTTTGAGAGAATAAAATCATAAGGGAATAAAATTCATTCCCTCATGAAATTTTCGGGCCCCGGCCGATTTCGGGGGGAGCACCTTACGCTACGTCCCTGATTATGGGAATCGGTATTATAAGATCTTTGGCCTAAAAAAGTCTCGCTGACCTAAAAGGGTTTTGGTTTTGAGGGCTGTAAAAATTGAGAAATTATGAAACAAGAAAAAGTAATCCTACTATATAGAAAAAATAGTGTCTGTGTGTGTGTCTGTGTACATTTGCATGCAACTTCCGTCAGGTTGTTCCAGTAGTATCTCAATAAGGGGAGTAGTTAAGGGCATGTTTGATACGCCATTAGGTGCGTAATGGCCTGGGGATGACTGCACACCAATAAAATTTTCAAAAAGGAGCAGTTTTCGACGTTAAAATTAAGTTTTTTGGTGAAAAATGGGCCACCCTCTTTGTTAGGAAACAATTAGCATACACCGGAAGTTGCGGTAGCCTATATAAGGCAAGAGAGGTAGCGTTTCTCTTTTTTTTGGTCATCGAAAATCGTGAGAATTATGCAAAGTGAAGAATATTATCGGATCAGACGGGGCCAGGGTTGAAAAGTCGCGAAGCGGCTTTTCAACCCTGGTTAATAAGTAATTAATAATTAATAATTAATTAGTAAGTAATCAATAATTAATAATTAATAATTTATAGTAATTATTAATTAGTTATTAATATTATTTAGTAAGCATAGCTTTTTGCCCTGCTTCCCAACCTCTTTCGCCTAAAAAGTAAAGCCAAAAAAAGCGCCTCTCCATGCCCAGACATCAATTCCAGAACATTTTTTCTTTTTCGATTCGAAAGGGTAAGAGTATTCCTACCGTAATCAAGGAAAACAAGCTTTTTTCGGTAATGAGATTCGACTCATCGTCCCGAAAAACCTATACTCTGCAAAAACCAGAGCCAGGGAGCATCCCTGGGCGTTTCTGGCAACTTGCCAAGTGGCCGGGTCCCGAGTGGATTCCTACCGTAATCAAGCAAAACATTTTTTAGACAAAAGAGTTTGTATTGTGTTCAGCGTGCCATTCCGTTGTGCCGTCAAACTGTTGTCAAATATTCGCTCAATAAAAGACCTGGAGATGGACGCGTCGACAGATTATGAGATGGTAGGCGTTTAGACAACGGCTTCGATGACAATCTGGAAAAGAAGCTAATACATAGAGAAAAATGGTGAATCGTTTCAGTTGAGCCTGCTGCAAGCACCTGAACAGACGGCGCTGAGGAGTGAAGAGCTGTTTGACGTAATGTATTTTTAAATGTTGAAGAGAGAGAGAGAGAGAGAGAGAGAGAGATAGAGAGAGACAGAGGGAGAGGGAGAGGGAGAGAGGGAGAAAGGGAGAGAGGGAGAGAGTGCATAGCCATCCTTTAAACGCTTAGATATCTCCACTGTGGAGAGGAGCATCTGCTATCCGCGGGTTCCGCTTGGATTACGTAGCCAACAACCAGATTTTCCCAAGCATCCTCTACAATTATAGAAGAGGTTTCGAATATCTGCACCTCGATGTGAGTGATTTGACTCGGTAACTACTCAACTCAGGTGAAAAATATCGACATCACGTTGGATTGTGACAATCTATGGGAGGCATGGTGCGGACCTCGGCGGCATGGACGCTCCCAATACGTAGAATTTTGGGTGCGCCACGGCTTGTGGCCTCAGACGATTTCGGGATTGACCGAGGCAAGTTATCCTAAATCCCAATACAGAAATTAAAAGAAATCAGCGTTGAAAGGCCGCTTTCCGACTTTTCAATCCTGGCCCGTTCTATGTATCCTACTATATATAAAAAAATAATGTTTGTGTGTGTGCCACTTTTCATGTAACTTCCGTCAGGGTGTCCGGAGGATATCTCAAGAGGGGAAGGGCCTTAAGCTATATGTGATACGCCATTAGGTGCTTAATGGCCCCCCAGATGGCTGCACGCTTATCAGATTGGGCAAATTGTGCTATTTTTGCCATGAAAATTGAGTTTTTGTTGAAAAAAGGACACCCCTCTTTGTTAGGAAATAATTAGCATTCGCCGGAAATGGCGATAGCCTATATATTCGGATAGAGGAAGCGGCTTGTCGTTTTTCGTTATCGGGATTCAGGAAAATTATGCAACATTGTAGGGTCCGCTCCGCGACTTTTCAAACCTGGTTACGCCTAAATTGGGACTTTTCATCACTTTTTATTATCTTTGGCAGCAACCGACCCGAAAATATTATTTGCGGAAAATTACTCAACATCGGCATGCTAATTGCGAAAACATTGCCAAAAATGAGTACCGTCATTTCCCGAAAAACAGTTTTCGCGAAACTTTTTTGTTTTAAAATATTTTGTTTAGAAAATTTGGCCGCACTTAGTTTTCATGGGGGTTCATCGCTGGTAAAAATTCCTTCTCCATCGGATCGAAGACGGCGAAATCCCGAGGGGGGGGGGGGGTTCGGTCGGTGCCACGACATTTGCGGCCCCGACAATTGCGGCCGAAAGCTGTAATGACTCACACGGCTGAAGCTTTTAGCCGTCCGGAAGTCTAGTTTTCTGAAGGGTTTTGATAGCTTGACCCCTTGACCTAAGAATAAGGCTTTCGTGCCATGTGGAGCGATGGCCCGCCTAGTCTAAAAATGTTTTGGACCCTTACTAACCCTCTTTTTAGTTTTCGATTGGGAAAAACGGGCTTAAGAGGACAGGCCGCAAATGTCGGGCAGCCGTTGGGTCACCCTGTATTCGAAAATCATCTGCTCGAAAAATCATCAATTCGAAAATGGTCTGTTCGAAAATGTGGCTTTTGGTATCATTTCTAGGCAATGCCATATGCAAATTTTGCGAACAGCTAATTTTTCGAAGAGATGACTTTTCGAAGGGGTGATTTTCGCACAGTTTCGCACATTCGCCCGCTATTTTGCGAGGTCATATTTCGGCAAATTTCTTGGGAAATGAGCAATTTTTAGCTAGTATGGTGTCCGGGCCGGCCGTCGCGCTCGGGCCTCTGGCATTGGATCGTTATGGGGTGGAGTCGGACGGCATGGACGTCGACGATTACGTGGTAAGATTACTTGATTGGTTGTGTGCTAAAGCCTAGCTCACCCGTTATCCCAGCCGTGTTTCTTCCCCCTTTCAACGTCAATTTTTTTTATCTGCCGCTGTGGTTCTTTAAGATTTGCGGCGGGGGAACGGCGAACCAATTTTTCTCCCTTTGGTCCCGGTTGACCTAGTTATCAAATGTAAAGTGTATTTACATTGTTTTTAGTATGTTTTAACTATAGCTAAAGTAGAAAGACTTTCAAAAAAACTTAGAAAAATGCTTGGAAAGGTCGAAAATTTGGACATACAGGGTGTCCCAAAAAAAACGACCCATCTGGCATTTCGCCGTATTACATCCAATCGGCCCCAAATTTGGACCAGAGGTTTATCATACCCTAAATAACACCAATCCTGACTTTGAGCCCCATTGCTACAGTAGTTTTAAAGTTATAACAAAAATGAACTTTAATTTCCAGTTTTCATAGGGTTTTGGTGGAATTAGACCCCCCTAAACATTAAGTGAAAATGATCCGGTAGGCCTTCTTTACCTTAAGAAATTTTTTCCAGAGTAAAATTAATTAAATAAGCTTTGATTTAAGCGATTTTTACAACGCAAAATTACCCAAGTTCTTAAAGGGATGCCCAACCTTTTCGGGGCTCAAAAAGCAAAAACCATGCCGCGGGCGGGGGTCGAACCCGGGACCCCCGTTTTGTAGGCCTGGATACTATCCATTAGGCCATAGTGGCAAGCCATTGGGTGGGATGGGGAAGCCACAAGTGGGAAAGGTGTCCGAATTCTGTGCGGCAATGGCCCGCCATTGCCGCACAAAATTCGCGCGTCATTGGTACTGCCCGGAATCCATAACTATATATTGCCGCCAAAACCTTGGGTATCCCTTTAAGCGAAATTAGGGATTCACAGCCGGAAGTCGATGCAAATCGATGCAAAGTCCAAAAAGATAGCCGAAAAAACTGTTCAAAATTCCGGGAAAAACAGTATTTTCGTTATAACTCGAGAAATATTGTAGCTACGGCGCTAAAAGTCAGAATTGGGGTTATTTAGGGTTTGATACACCTTTGGTCCAAATTTGGGACCGATTGGATGTAATACGGCGAAATGCCGGATGGGTCGTTTTTTTGGGACACCCTGTACATGGTAAATATAGGATGCCGGGAGTTGGGGGGCACTAATTACCATAAAATTTTGCATTACTGTGGGATTTCGCAGGAGCCATTTCTTAGAGCGTCAAAAAACACATACAAAAATAATGGCAGATTTTATGCAAAATCAGTAGGTTAATTGATTGCTAAAGCAAACAGGACGACGCAGATTGTACTCTTTTTTTTGAGAAATCGTTAAATATCGAGGGCGGGCTAAAAAATTTTGTAAAACAAAAAGCGCTTGTTTGCTCGCCGGTTCAACGGCTTTCGAATGGCGCAAAAAATCATGCCGATCCGACCTTTCGCCGGACGGCTAGAGGGGAGCCGATTTTTTTGGGACACCCTGTACTAACAAGGAGGGCTTTCTTGAGTCATCGGCAAATCCCTACGAGACCTAGCTCATTCGATAGAGAATCGATTCTGAACAAGACCCCATTGTCCTTTTTTTGCGGAATGGCTCTCACTGATTTTATAAAATTAAAAAAAACTAGGGACCATCCCTTACCATGAGTGCCCTTCGAGCAAAAAGAGACTCATTCGGGTGCCGTTTTAAAGTTTATAAAATCAGGAATAGCCATTCCACAAAAAAGGACAACGGGGTCTTGTTCAGAATCGAATTCTCTATCGAATGAGCTAGGTCTCGTAGGGTTTTGCCAATGACTCAAAAAAGCACTCCTTTTACTACATAATTAATTGCAGCCCGAAATAATGTACATAATGGAAATTTTTTATTGAAGAAAAGAAAATTAATCAATATCTATGGGCAGCAAGCACATACGATAGCGGGGGCGTGAGGGAGTAAAACAGTTAAAACAGTACTTCATAACAAATGCACCGTCATCTCGCTTCGGCTTCGATCCTACCAGATTTGCAGAATGATTTCAAAAGGCTTGTCGAGAGCTGTGCCGGACGGACGGTGGAATGCCTGAAGGAGACTGACCCGGATGCGGAACTGTGCCGAAAATGGATGCCGTCCAATGTGGGGTCTTTGCCACGTTCGTTGTTAACTTCAATTTTTCTCCTAGTATCATCCCGCTAGCGCCGTAAATCGCCATCTCCGCGTGTTCGCCGATAGAAAATGTGGGTTTTCCAGGGCTCGATGTCTTTCCGTATGCCCACAAGGGAAAGCAAGCAAGGAAGGTGACACGGTGCTTTTCTGTTAACGGGGGGTTGCTAATATTTATTTTTGCGCCTAGTATTTGTGCCTCAATGCACCTATTGATAATGAATAGAGCATTTTCAGAATGTTTTAATTCACGTTTAGGGTTCGTGGCTGAATTTGCAATCGAGAAGGGCGTCACTTGGACGAGGCTGTATTTTTATATTTTTGACAAATGTTATGCGAATTTTATCGCAAATTAAGAAGGAAGACTGTCAATAATAATAATCTCGATCGGTTTGGAATAAACAATTGGTGGAGCACTACTTTTCAAAATCTGACCCTTTTGCAATCCGAAGAGAGAGAGAGAGAGAGAGAGAGAGAGAGAGAAGGAGAGAGAGACGGAGAGAGAGACAGAGAGAGAGACAGAGAAGGAGAGAGACAGAGAGAGACAGAGAGAGACAGAGAGAGAGAGATAGTTTGTTGTTGAATCTGGTAATGCTGCCCGCGACAAATGGAATCGTTTGGCAGATGGTCATACCCGATACCCCCATTTGAAGGAAATGCACATTTCCCGCATTCTATCGCTCCTCCGCCTCTTCAGGTCAACCCGTGCCAATGGTCGCGAGCTATTCCCGCTTACCAGGCCAGGCTACTAAGCGTTAATATTTTTTTTTCGCGGCTTGCAGTATTATTCACCGTACATCGCAAAAAAAGCACCATTTGGGCGCCTTCGTTTCATCTCGTTGGTTCCAAAATTGGACCTGGGGCGCATAGCTCCCTAAATAACCACAATCCTGACGTACGGCCGGATAGCAACCGTGTTTGTTTTTTGAGTTATCGCGCAAAAATAAACTTTATTTGCCGGTTTTTATGTCTCTTTCGTAGCAACCGGCTCCAAATATTCAGTGAAATGATGCGGCAACCCTTTTCCTGACTAAATTCATCCACGGAAAAGCGTGTTTAACGTATTTTACAGGGTTAAATAGTTCACGGGCTTGAGCGGAATCTTAGCCTAAAAGGTATACAAATCGATGAAACTCTTCGAATTTTCGAAGCGATTGGATCGCGCGATAGGCGGCCAAATGCCGAAGGAGTGTCTTTTTTCGGCATTCGGTATATCGACTTTTTTGCTTGTTTGGCTTGAGCTACGCATAGGTTTTTGACGACGGCCGGTTAGATGTTTCCCGCCGGTCGCATGAATTCGGTCTTGACAGCGGCCGTGATCGATCAGCTCGGTACCGAAGCGTTGCACAAATTGCGACGCGTCAGCAAGGAGTTCAGGTAGACGCTTCTTTTCGCGTGGCAAATGTCGTGCTTTTGATTCATCGTTACATTTGTAGGCATTTGGTGAACGAACGCCGCCTGATGCCACGAAAAGTAAAATTTATCTGGATTGATGCCACTACTAGTATCGGTTGTTTTAACCCCCCTCAAGAATCACATGCCACCAAGTCAATTTCTGTTTTACATGCCATATTTCTTATACTACCACAAAACGTGTTTGTACGCGTCAAAACAGGCGGTGGCGACAGCTGACACCCGCCAGCCGTTTTCGAACGTGGGGCGTTTCGGGCCCCAACTGGGAAAGGACCCCCAACTGGGAAAGGGCTTTGGGATCCCCAAAAGGTGAAGGGTTTTTCGAGCTCCCCAAAGTCGGGAGGAGGGTTTTGGGACCCCAGGGTGCCTGCACCCGTTACAAAGCCCGAGTACCGTTCCGACAAAATGCGACTTGCCAAGACAAAACTGCCAACAACTTTTTGTGAATGTCTGACCGTTTGGTCAGATGGTAAGTGTTTCGATTTGTAAACAGGCAACCTGGGTTCGATACCCGCTACATGTCGAAAAGGTAAGGTTTCCCAATTCTCAACAAAAAATATCAACTTTAGGTATCCAAAACGCCTGTCCAGACCCTGGGGAGGTCAAAGCGGTAACATTTTTTTGCTTTTATGCCATGTGTGTTTTTATCGTGCATTTTCAGACAACAACAACTTTTCATTCAAATATTTATTCAGGCACAACATTAAGATAAGGGATTTTTAAATGCATCGAAGTCAGCGGATATAACACGATTAACAGGATCAAGAAAAAACAACAATTGAAAAAGTTTGCATTTGGTTTCGGTTGACTCGTTGGCGGTGACGCTTGAAGACTTCTCGACTTGCTGCTGATGGTTGTTCTCGTCCTTGACAGGGTTGCTGGTAGTCACTGGAGCCGGAGGAATAACTTCGTTGGAGTAGCTCACAGCAAAGTTACGCCTTCCAGGGCAGTGGAGATGCACATGTCGATTGAGGTTTGAGCGTGTCGTGAAATTCCGTTGGCACTGGTCACACATGTGCGTCAAAGAACGAGGCATGGCGAATTGTGGTTGTTGAGAGAGCTCCATTTGACGACCGTACCGCAGCGTGACAATGATAAGAATGAGAACCTCCGGCAGACGCTTCGTAGTTGTAGAGATGAGAGGGAGCAGAGAAAAAAGCTCAGACTCTACCTTGCAGATGCCCACTCCAAAGGCAAGTTGACACGAAAATGTTTCGATACATAGCTTATCACAAAGTGGTCGTCATTGGCAATGCTTTGAAAAAATTTGTGAAAGTCATAAAATTTACAACCCAACGACATTTGATGTAAAAAGACCAAGACAAAGGCACCGCAAGTTTTGGTGCCAAACTTTTGGTGTTGTTCGGGGATGTATCTGACGCGGCTAAACGTCTTTTCCAACCAAAGTTTTATTTTACCTTTAGGTTGCTGACCCAGGGGGTCAAAGTAGTAGCCGATACCTCGTTTACCAAAAATTGCCACCCAATGGCTACCAGGTCCAGTGGACTCGTCCAAATTTACGACAAGTCCACCACCGCGTGGCTTCCAATTTGGCAAAGTGTCGGACGCAAAAACGCCAATGTGGTTTGGACGTGTGTGTCGATTGTGTCGAAGCAAAAGGTTCAGCTGTCGGTTGTTCATCTTCAAATGGCCAAAGTCTGGGCTTGCCGTGTGTGGTCAATTGTCATTTTATTCATAAATTCGGCGTGAACGACGCACATGAGACCACCGGTAGGTGTCGCCGTACCAAACTCTAGGTCCAACGAACACTGCCCCGAAATGGCCATGTCAAAATTGTCGACGCCACCGTCTGCCTCAGGTAGTAGTTCAAACACGTGCACACATCGACTGTCGGCAAACGTATCCATGTCGATACCATTAGTCCGATTGTCTGCCGCCAAACCTGTGCCGTTCAACATTGCCGTGTAACTTTCGGTCCAACCAACACCGTGTTCCCTGTCCCAGTCGAGGTTCCATGCTTTTGTGGGTACCGTTTGCCCTGCAAAACGCACTTGAATGTTCTTCAAGTCAAAGTTATTGAACCGCCATGGGTCAGTGTCCTGTGAACCGACGAATGCGTTGTTCTTGACCAGTCCCACAAACAACCTTCGAGGAACCTGGTTGGAATTGAATAGTTGCATCTCGGGCACCTTTAGCTGATTTTCAGGCAAGTAGAAACCCTTTGTCTGGTAGCTACGCATGGGATAACTGGCTTTTTGACCGCTTAGCAGGGCTCTCTCGATGGATGCACTCGCAGACGGGTACAACTGATATTCCGCCAACACCAAGCGAATGTCGTGAATCTTGAACTTCCAGTCAGTCTTTGTCGAGCCATAGTTGCGAATCAAAAAGTCGTCAGACTGTCGATGCAGCGTAATTTGAATGTCGGTATTGTTCAGCATCAACTTGTTGGAGGTGGCAATATTCAAGTCTAGCGGGCTATTAACGCGTACTTGACGACCTTTCATAAACACCAGCGATAGATCCTCGAAGCCATCGTTTGTTGAGAATTCGGTGCCCGCTTCCAGAATACTATAGCATTGAGGGATGCCAACGTTGAATTTTTTCGCCTGGAGATCCGACATAAATTCGGTGTTGATAAACGCTCGATACGGGTACAAGTCGCCCGTGTTCTCCACTTGGGTTCCATTAATGTTGACAGTAATTTGTTTCCAGAATGCCTTTGCGGCTAGCTGAATAGGGGCGCACTTTTCCTTGGGTTCAATTTTGAATGTCTTGTCCGGATTTGTAATTTTTTCAAAGTTTGCGTATCCCTTACCTTCGCTGTCGACAAGACTCAACGTCATGGTGACGTAGCTTTTGGCAAGGGAGACGTAGTGGGGTTCTTTCATGATACGAAAAGAAATGGGTCCTGTTTGAGAAATGCCATTTTCCGGGGCAATACTGCGATATCGCATTGACTGAACACCAACAACATGTTGCAAGGGTTCAAAAAGCGACAACTCGCTTGAAACTAGAAATTCGGGGTTGGCTTCAAGCGTCTTGGGGTCTTCCATTGCGTTTCGGTGGTACAGTTGTTAGAATGAAGTGACTTCGCTTGCGGTTGCTTTTTGTACCTTTTTTGGCAACTGCTTTGGTTCCCTCACCCAAGAGACGTAGAGGGGGCAGAGAAGTGGGGTCGTCTGGAAGTTTTTTCACCTTCCGGACCCGTTTTGTTGAGGGTCCGGCCTCCCCTTCCACCCCGACCCCTTTAGAAGGGGTCCCCTTTTCGGGTCCTACGTAGGGTAGGGGAAACCCTACTTCCCCCTCGACGTAGGGGAACCCTACGACGGGTGGAAGTAGCCCTCTTAAAAGGGGTTGGGGTCCTACTTTTTGGGGCCCTACTTTGGGGTTTAAGCGGACGTACTTTTTGGACGTTTTACGTCCAAAACCCAGCTGTTGTCCGTTGTCGGGTAGCAAAGTCACGTCTGGTAGCAAGGCAACGTCTGCAGGCAAGCGAAAATACTCCATACCGTACGTTAGGAAGGTAAAGTGTGAAGGCAATGTAAAGAATGAACTTTTGCCGCTAGTAGACCCTTTTAAAGTGTAGCGTGGCCACGCAGTTGCCGTAGTTAAAGTCAATTTCGCGGTTGTTTTCGTCAGCGATACGCAAGCTAATATCTTTGAAGGAACCTTGGCGTACTGGCCGGTAAACTGGAGGGTTGAAAGTTTTGCTAAACGTCTCGCCCCAGCTCATATCAACTGGGATGGTGCATAGCAAGTCTTGAAAAGCGTCACCCACCAATTGAGGTTCGACCACATTGCAACAAATTGACAAGTTGTGACAGTTTGCCTTTAGGTCAAGCATGTATTTTGCGCCTCGACTGTCTTTGATTGTGCTGTACTCGAAGCCTAGTATTTGCCACAGTAGCTTGGGAAGAAATAGTTTGTCCACCTTTGTGGGATCAACTTCCACCCAGGCACGGCACCGATTTGCATC